ATACATTGAATGAAATACAAACTGTGTTTTAAACATCTTTAAAATCACTAAAACATATCTGAATTTTTTTATGTAATAAATTATACGTAATTTCTAAGTGATATACGAATTTATTATAACTAGATAGTTTAATTAAATAGTTTAGTCTGTCATAATTAAATTAATTCGCGTTTATTAACATTTAATAACTTGGTTATTCTAAATTATTTTCAAAGTTTAAATTTCAAACATTGCATAGAGAATATAGTAATTTGAATATATTTGTTAACTAGACCGTAGTAATCACCTTTACCTAGATGATAATGATTATAGCCCTTNTAACTTGGTTATTCTAAATTATTTTCAAAGTTTAAATTTCAAACATTGCATAGAGAATATAGTAATTTGAATATATTTGTTAACTAGACCGTAGTAATCACCTTTACCTAGATGATAATGATTATAGCCCTTATATAACTAGAATAATGATTAATCGTAAAACTTAGTCAACATCCGTCGGGTGCGGGCGATAACGGTATCATTTTTGGTAAATATAGGCTGTGATGGAGAGTTGAGATTGCTCCAGATTAAACCATCATCCCGAACCTATTATAATGATTTAATAATTTACTTAATAATTTATATTAATGAACTACCACGGGTATAAATGTGAATGGCATGTATCATATTATTGTTATCCGAATAATAAAGATAACAATATTTAAAATTTTATTTTCATTTTTGTTGAATAGTTTAATGTTTTTATTGCAACATAAGGTTTGCTTATTAACCATACTTTAAACTAGTAATAATCAATTTAGTGTTTTTCTAACAAATAAACAGAAAAACAAAATGGAAAAATAAAAATTAGTACCTGTGTCGTTAACATGCGGTGAAATAACCATAGTACAATTTGATTCCATAGAGTAGGAGTGCCCAGAAATCGGGTGTATACGAGCGTCCTTTCTGACGATAAACTGATACCCGACAAGATAAACATCGCGGGCGTAACCTTTGGTATACCGATGTATTTGATGTGGCACTCGGCGTATGCGGGTGTGCACGCCCTTTGCTCCAGATGCATGGTGGTCGCTTTGCGGCTAAATAGATATAGCTCGATCAATATGACCAGCGGGCTATCCTCAGTGCCATCGCCCGTTATAATAAACTTGGTGCTCAACACGCCCCTGATGAAATGTGCATGCACATAGTGGGTGTGCTCGGCGTCAATTACGTTTTCCGTTACTTGCTATCAATAAAATAAATTTAATAATTTGTATTCAATTTTTCACTTTTAATTAAGGGTCGTAAATATTAATCATAATTATTTTAAAATTTATAAATTAAATAAAGTTATTACTTAAGCTTTACTAATGTTAATGTTAAGTATGTAAATGTAATACAGGGTTTACACTGCCATAAGTGATATGTACCTGCACTGATGTGTATATCTTGTAGGTGTATTTGGAGAGTACTGTAAGGTTGGGAATGTTGTACTTCTTGGACAGGTCTGGGAGGCAGTGGTCGGGCTCTGCATCGCTGCTGTGATGCCAGACGTATATCATGTCGTTTCGCTCCATCACTCGCCACCGCTTAA